TGTCTCAGAAAAGACAGAGCAATCAGGGAGGTTTCCAAGCCCTTAGAAAAGGAAAATGCCCAATCTGACTTCCGGAGGGGGAATTTGGGACTGGTCAGCTCCCCCTCAGTCCTTGGGAAGGTGACAGGACAAGCCCTCCCACAGTCATCCCCAGGTGCTTGAGGGCAAAGAAAAATGCAGCAGAAAGTGTTTTTTGGGAGGGGAAAGGAGGGAATGGGGCACTCTTGGACTTTGGGAAGGCCTTGGCCCTGGGCCTCCCATCATCTCCCAGCCAGACTGAAGCAGTGGATGATGATGAGGGGATGGAAGTTTGGCTGGATGACCAGGCCCAGAAGTCACCGGTGGGTCTGGAGCTGTCCTGGCAGCCCCTCAGTCACTGTTGTCACCCCTCTGTGCCCAGCACTGGGACATTACTGGGATGCACATGAACAATTGTCTCTGCCCATTGATCACAGACCTTCCCTTGGTGACGGGAGGAAAACCACTCAGGTTCCTGGTGGCCTTTGAAGCCCATGAGGAATTTTGCTCAGGTGAGTCTCTCGTCCCACTGCAGGCATTGCTGCTCAGCCCCAGGGCTGCCTGGCAGCTCAACCCCCCAAGACAGCCCTGAGCATTTCCTGCCGCAGGCATTTCACGCGAGCAGGAAAGAACGACACATCTATGAGATGCAGATTCAAATCCGTTTTATTATCAGAAGGCCACACAATATATTTTGAGTCTTGGACATGCAATCACGAGCACAGCACGCCTCCATGATTGTTTAGTCTTTAAGGCTTGATTGGAGTCTGTTTGGAGCATTGCTGAGGAAGATTTCAAAGCACATGTCACGAAATATGTAATTTTTTTTTTTTTTAATGAAGGGAATATTTTGTCACTTTTCAGTTCAGAGAGAGGTGATAGAAGCATTTTCCAATGTTGATGTTGATGCTGTCTCCTAGGGAGGTCTGGACAGTCCCTCGAGGGGGCTCACCCTGCTTGGAACAACCTTCCTCCTCACCATCCCCCCCTCATCCTCACTCTGGCGCTGACACTGCTATTTTTGTCTCAGGCTTCTCCTGAGCTCTGCAGGTGGATGTGACAGGCCCATGGCACCACCTCCCACCTGCTCTCCTCAGAGATCTGCCCAGCAGAGCTTGTCCTGTTTGCAACAAAAGGAAATTTAGCAGGAAAAAGGAAATTTGGGGTTTCACAAACCCCAAAACACCCCCGGGAACCACGTGCCCAGCACCAGCTGTCTGTAAAGTTCTCATCTTCCTGCAAGGGGTGATCTCATCAGAAAGGTTTTAGAGAGAGAGAGAGAGATAAGAAATATATATGTGGGAACATGAAAAAGAGCTGTCTAGGCAGGCAGGAGAGATTTTAACTGCTGGGATCTCGAGCTGGGAGGTGTCTGAAGGAACAAATGATGGTAATACAGAATATCTCAGATTGGAGGAACAACTGTTGCCCTTTGAGAGCCTGGGCTGGCCGTGCCTGATGTTGACATCGCCCTCCATGGTGCTTTTAGTAGCACCCACTATCGCAGGATCAAACTGAAGGGGCTCATCAGAGATCCTCGAGTTCCTGATTTCATTTCAGGACCACGTAAAAATGAAATCACAGGACTAAGAGCATCATCCCTGTGCTCCTTGAGATCTGGCAGGCTGGGAAAACACTTCTTTGGGGAGCCTGTTCCAGTGAGCAACCCCAGCCTCTGTTTAATTCACCTTAAGGAGTGCACTAAAAGCTCCCCCCAGTTTTGGATTTGTGGTTCATAATGCTCAGAAACAACTTCAATTAGAAGCTCCCTGTATTCTCTGGGCATAAAGATGAGGAAAACCAGAAAAAAACTACTTTCTTGCTATTTTTTCTTGGTTATCTTTTGACTTTGACAGCCCCCACAAAACTGCTCCCCATCAACCACGTGAGAAATGAGGAAATGAACCCCAGAGCTGGGGCCTGTTGGGGCCCTTTGCCTGTTCCTGGTTGTCACTGCCCCTGGACTGTCCTGCTGTTTTCCCTGCATGCTTTAACCACCCCCCCCTCCACTTACCAAAGTGGGATTGCCCCAAGATGGGCCAAGATTTACTGGTGTCTCTCTGTCCTCACTGGTTGCTGCTTCGAAAACACGGTCTGTGGTTACCTCAGGACTTCCCCAAACCTCTGAGTTTCCCACAGCCCATTCCAGCTCTTTTAAATCCCAATTCAGGCCCCTCCATCACCCAGCACATCCCAGCCCAAAATTCAACACCAACCGCCCCCCCCCTTCACCATCCCCCTCCCAATGGTGACAGGCAAGTCCCACCTGCCTGGAGAGACCTCCCCCAGGGATGGGTGTCCCCCCCCACCCAGTGCTGGATCCTGGGTTGCTGGGTCCCCACCCACCCACTTCTGTCCCCTCCCCGCCCCGTTCTGCGTCCCCCCAACCCAGTTCTGCGTCCTCCCAACCCAGTTCTGCGTCCTCCCAACCCAGTTCTGTCTCTTCCCCACTTTTGGGTCCCTCCCCGTTCCGGGTC